ACCCCCCTCCCCACCAGCAAAACAGCCCTCCCTTGCCCGTCTGTTGGGTAGAGACCCCGAATCCTGACTCCCTGCTCCCCCTTCCTCCCCCCTTACCCAGCAGGACTCACTGGCTGCGCTTCCTCCCCGCTGCAGGAGCAGGGGCCAAGGCCATGGGCTTCCAGCCCGTCTCTGTCCCCACCTCTTGGCATGAGGTGGCAACAGGCAATGCTGAACGTGCAAACGCAGGCAGCATTGCCTGGGCAGATCCAAGTCCACGCAGCAGCAGCAGCATTGTCACGACGGAGCTGGTGCTTGTCAGGAACTTTCCTCTGGGGATAAGCCAGGCTGGGTCTGGGCACCTGAGCTGGCAGAAGAGCCCTTGGCAGGCCAGGGGCCCTGGACAGCATGGCAGGGAGCGGGTATGCACTGGAGTGGCACGCACGGGGACAGAGCTGGGTGCACAGAGCCCTGTCTGGCGCAGCTGGCCCCTGTGGTGATCGGCAGCATGCGGATGGTCCTGGGGCACGTGCTGGCTGTGCACAGGCACATCATTTGCTGCTCCCTGGTGTGTTTACGCAGGTGGCACAGGGAAACGATGCCTGTGCGCTGGCAGAAGGAGGCAAAGCTGAGCCCTCGGCACTAAGTGATGGGAGTCACGAGGGGATAAGGGAGCCACCTCCGCTGCCCCAGCAGAGCAGGGCCAGCCCCTTCTCTTCCCAACCCTGTGCAAACCTGGGACCAGATCGCAACTCTCCTCAACCCCACTCTAACCCTGCAGCCTCCTGCCGCAGCACTGGCTTCCAGTGCAGCGCTGAAGGGTGCAGGGCACGGACGACGACGCTGTGCAAGACTGAGTGCAGAGAGGCTCCCTGCACGGTGGCGCGTACCTCAGTTACAGCCAAGCAGCACTTCAGTTACAGCTAGGCAGTTGTGACTAAGCCATGGCTCTCCTGCCCTCTGCACAGCCCACGCTCAGCCACAAACACCCTCCAGCCTTGGGAGTTTGCACAGCCCAGCGCTTGCTGGCCTGATGCTTCCTGCCGGCACCATTATTTGGTTGTATAATGGCTGTATTGTGGTTGATTCCAGTATGTCCAGGAGCTGTTTGAACATGGGTGCAGATGGGTTTCTGTGCTCCCAGCCCTGCCTGCAGCACCTACCCGCTTTTCTTTTGGCTGCTCTCCTTTGCCTTGTTCCCTCCTGCCCCTCTTCCCGTGCTTTCTGAGCAAGGCAAGGAGAGTAGATACCCCACCTCAAGTGCAGTTGTGGGCAAAGGACCTTTGGGGCTCTTTCTGGGAACCCACCTGCTCCAGCCTCTGCTGCCAGCCCCTCCCTGACTGGTGCCACTGTGGGGAAGGATGCCAGTGGAATCAGGTCCCATGAGCTTACAGCCTTTCCCTGGCAGAGGGCAGCAGCCTTTTTTCACTTACTCAGGAGTTGCTCATCCCTGTGCCAGTGTCAGCAGCAGCCCAAATGCTGTGAGGGTGACTGAGCACTAGAACAGGTTGTCCAGCAAGGTTGTGAAGTCTCCATCCTTGGAGATATTCAAAAGCCATCTGGACAACATGCTCTAGGTGGCATGTGACCGGTGCTCAAGCAGGGTCTCTAACTAGGGATTGGAGCTAGGGTCTCTAGGGGTTGGACTAGCTGATCTCCAGAGGTCCCTTCTAACCTCAACCATTCTGTGACTGAGTGCAGGGACCTGGTTTGGGGTGCTGCTCTTGCCTGGTATTTTGCCCCATGCACAGCCCCCCTGCAGGTCTTTGAAGCACCACACAATGCTTCTGTGCTAAATGCATGTGACAGCTCTTGGGGAACTTTACTCCTCGCAGGAGTCAGGCCTGCCTCCGTGTGGACAGAGCCACATGCGATCCTGGCCATGCTGCTGGTGAGAGAGGTGTGCTCAGCGAGGGCTGCTGCAAGCACCTGGCTCCTCTCTAACATCATGGGGAGGTGTACACAGGAGGCAGCCCAACCCCTATGGCTGGCTGGCTCTGTCATGGTCCTTTGCACCAGCTCCTGCTACCCCAGCACCTCACACCGCCCCAAGCCCAGAGTGCAGACCGCCCTGCAGGTGCTCTGGGAAGCTGCACAGCAGGCACGTTCCTCTGTTCACAGGGGTGCTTTTGCTCTGATCTCTCCTGCATGCTGAGCTCTCCCAGAGCATCTGTCCAGGGCAGCCTCTGTGATCCCAGCAGGTCTAGGTCAGACAGCAGCCAGTGCCTGCCTCTGGCAGGTCTGGGTCAGCATGTCAGACCTGGGGATAAGCTCACTGCCCTAGCCATGTTCAGCCTCTGGCTGTTTTTTCCTCCTGTCTGAGAGATATTTATTTTTCTTTTTTTCCTCATATTTAGCATGCAAAGCATAGAAAAGCTGATTTCTCACTGAGCTTTCTCATTCTCTCCCCTCTCTGCAGTGACTCTTTCTGGGGCCCAGTTGCCTTCCACAGGGCAGTGAGGAGGAAAGACAGCTGTAAAAGACATACACTGAGCAGCAAGGCAAGGGGATGGAGGGCAAACCAGCAGTGAATGGCCATGCTGCCCCCATCTCTCACCGCAAAGTCATGCCAGGAGCAAACCACTTCTGTCAGGACATACCGACTTGTAAACAGAAACAAGCAGCTGGCAGGGAAGTGACAGGGATGGACACTGCCATGGAGGTGGCTGGCAGCATTGCTGGAGTATATGTAGAGGCTTCAAAGAAGATAATGAGCTTTTATGATGCTACCAGAGAACATCTTCTGAGTTTGGATCCAGCACTCTGTCTCCTCGAGGCCCAGGCAGCCACTGGCTTCATCATTGACCCTGTAAAGAACAGGCAAGTATCTGTAGCAGAAGCTGTGCACCTGGGGCTGGTGGGGCTGGAGCTGAAGGAGAGGCTGCTTTCTGCAGAAAACCCTGCCACTGGCTTCGTGGACCCTTACACAGAAGGGAAAATCTCCCTGTACCAGGCGATCCAGAAGGAGCTGATTGGGAGAGAGCAAGGCACCCGGCTGTTAGAGGCCCAGATTGCAACAGGAGGCATCATTGACCCAGCCACTGGCCACCGGGTCCCAGTAGATGTTGCCTGTGAAAGGGGATATTTAGATGAACAGACAAGCCAGCTCCTTTCTGACCTCAGCAATGAGGACAGCAAAGGGTTCCTTGACCCCAGCACTATGGAGAGGGTCACCTATGTGGAGCTCATGAAGAGGTGTGTTAATGATCCAGCCTCAGGCTTCCTCCTCTTACCCCTGAAAATCACATTCCCAGGGTTGGGAGGAAGGGTGAGCAGCAGAGAGCTGCTGGACTCCGGCATCATTAGCTCTGATGTGTTCAGAGGTCTTGAGGAAGGAAGAGTTTCTGTCCAGGAGGTAGCAGAGAATGACTCTGTTCAGCAGTTCCTACGCGGGACAAGGAACATAGCTGGTGTTGTTGTTCTGCCTTCCAATGAGCGGAAAAGCCTTTACCAAGCACTGAGAGAGCATCTCCTTCTGCCTGGTGCTGCTCTGATGCTCCTACAAGTCCAGGCCTCCACTGGCAGCCTGACAGACCCCGTAAAGAACAAAAGCTTCTCAGTCGATGAAGCTGTCAAGACTGGTCTCGTTGGCCCAGAGCTTTATGAGAAACTGTCTTCAGCTGAGAGAGCCATCACTGGGTACAGGGACCCTTACACTGGGGAAATGCTCTCTCTGTTCCAGGCCATCAGGAAGGGCTTCATCCCCAGTGACCATGGCATTTGCCTTCTGGAGGCTCAGATGGCCACAGGGGGTATCATCGCTCCAGGCAGGCACTTCCGTGTCCCCACAGAGACAGCTTGCAAGTGGGGATACCTGGATGAAGCCACGAGGCAGCTCCTCTCCAGTCCTACTGATGACATGAAAGGGTTCTTTGACCCCAGCTCCAAGGAAAAGCTGACCTATGCGGAGCTGCTCAAGAGCTGTGTCACTGATCCAGACACGGGGCTTCTCCTGCTGCCCCTTTGTGGAGACAGCGGAGAAGAGCCCAAGGGAAACCACCTCTTCATTGACCACAGGACCCAAACAGCTCTGGAAAGCACAAAAGTACCCATTGCTTTAGGTAAATTCAAGGGAAAGTCAGTTGCTCTCTGGAAACTCCTCTTCTCAGACTACATGCCAAGTGAGCGGAGAGCCACTCTCACCCAGCAGTACTGTGCAGGAGCACTGTCCATGCAAGAACTGGCTGAGACCGTCAGTGCCACTATTGAGGAAATGGCTTCCACTGCTAATGTCACCTTTGAAGGCCTGAGGGACCGAGTTACAGCTGACCAGCTCCTCAGCTCTGAAATTATCAACAAAGATTTATTTAAGAAACTGAAGCAGGGAGAAACATCAGCCAAAGAAGTTGTCAGCATGGACACAGTCAAGAAATACCTGGAAGGGACAGGCAGCATCGGTGGGCTGCTGCTTCCTGACTCCCAGGAGAAGATCAGCATCTACCAGGCAAAGAGGAAAGGGCTTTTAAGGCCAGGAACATCACTGATCCTCCTGGAGGCACAGGCTGCCACTGGATTTATCATTGATCCAGCTGCCAACAAAAGGTATTCTGTGGATGAGGCTTTAAGAGCAAATGTCATTGGCCCGGATGTTTATGACAAGCTGCTGACTGCAGAGAAATCAGTCACTGGCTACAGAGATCCTTATTCAGGGAACAAGATCTCCCTCTTCCAGGCCATGAAGAAAGAATTCATCGTGAAAGAGCATGCTATCCGTTTGCTTGAGGCCCAGATTGCCACTGGCGGCATCATCGACCCTGTCAACAGCCACCGCATCCCTGTGGAGGTGGCCTACAAGCGGGGCTACTTTGACAAGAAGATGAACTTGATCCTTTCTGACCCTAGTGATGACACCAAAGGTTTCTTTGACCCCAACACACATGAGAACCTCACATACCTGCAGCTGAAAGAGAAGTGCATCGTGGAGCCATCTACCGGGCTCTGCCTCCTCCCTCTGAACAGCAAGAAACGTCAGTTCATCGATGAAGCCACCAAACAGGTATTCGGGAACTCCTGGCTGCGTGTCAGGTTCGGGCGGTTGCGGGGCGAGCGAGTTTCTATGTGGGACTTTTTTTTAGACGTCGAGAAATATTCAATCACTACCAGCTGAGAAAGCTCACACTGGAGCAAATCAGGATCCTTTTAGAGGAGGAAATGAAAAAATGGGCCCCCATCAAATTTCCAGCCATGAGAGGCAGTGTCAGCGCTTATCATCTGATGGAAACAGGTGTCATTGACAGGGCCCTGTTTGAGAAAGTGTTGGAGGGATCCGTCACACCGGAGGAAGTCCTGCACATGGACTCTGTCAAAAAGTACCTGTATGGCTCCGGCAGCATTGGGGGGATTGTACTGCAGCCATCAAACCAGAGGATAAGCATTTATGAGGCCATGAAACAGAACCTCATGGTGCCAGGAATAGCCATGCCATTGTTGGAGGCCCAGGCTGCCACAGGCTTCATCATTGACCCAGTGAACAACCAGAAACTCTGTGTAGATGATGCCATAAAAGAGGGAATAATCGGGCCAGAAGTCCATGAGAAGCTGCAGCACGCAGAAGGGGCTGTAACAGGTTATAAGGATCCTTTCACAGGCAAGAAGATACCCCTCTTCCAGGCTATGAAGAAGGGCCTGATCGCCGACAAACAGGCCCTGCAGTTAATGGAGGTGCAGATGGCTACAGGAGGTATCATTGACCCAACGTGTGGCCACTATATTCCCGTAGAATTTGCCCAGAAACGGGGGTGCCTGGATGAGGACACAAGCAAGGCCCTTTCTAAAGCCAGTGACAACAACAGAGCCTTCTGCCTCCCAGACAGCAAAGAAACTGTGACCTATGCTGAGCTAATTGAGCGCTGCCAGAAGGATGAGACCTCTGGCTTCCACTTGCTCCCTCTGCCACAAACAGCTGTTCCTGTTTACACTGATAAGCAAATCCAACAGCTTTTCAAGGAAACTATGGTGAAGGAAAAAGAAGTCTCCCTCTGGGAAGTGATCCACTCTGGGTATTTCACTGAGGAGCAGAGGAGTGACTTTGTGGAGAAGTACCGATCTGAGGAAATGTCTCTAGAGCAGCTGGTTGCTCTTGTCCTTAAACTTGTTAAAGAAATGGAAATGAAAGCCCACACCCACATCACCTTGGAAGGCTTGCGGGGCGGTGTCCCTGCTGTCTGGCTGCTGGATGCTGGCATCATTACTGAGAAGATGTTTGAAGAGCTGGTTCAGGGCACAAGCACTCCTGAGGAAGTGTCCGCGATGGGGAGCGTGAAGAGATACTTGCAGGGCACAGGCAACATCGCTGGGGTATTTGTACAGGCATCCAAAAAGAAGATGAGCTTTTACCATGCCATGAAAAACAATCTCCTCCTCCCTGGGGTAGCACTGAGGCTGCTAGAAGCTCAGGCAGCCACAGGATACTTAACTGACCCAGCAACTGACCAGAAATTCAGTGTGAAGGATGCTGTAAAAGCCGCTATTGTTGGTGAAGAGCTCACGGAAAAACTCCTTCTAGCGGAGAGGGCAGTGACTGGCTACACAGACCCCTACACAGGGAGCGTCATCTCTGTATGCCAAGCACTCAGGAAAGAGCTAATTCCCCTGAGTGATGCTGTTCCCTTGCTAGAGGCCCAGCTGGCTACAGGAGGGGTCATTGATCCCATTCACCACCACCACCTTCCACTCCAGGCTGCATACAGATATGGTTTCTATGACAAGGACCTGAACCAAACCCTCTCTCAGCTAAATGACAGCACCAAAATATTTTTTGACCCAAACACAAAGGAGAATGTGACCTACCAGCAGCTGAAGGACAGGTGCATTCCTGAGGCTGAGACAGGCCTCTGGCTCCTACCTCTGTCAGAAAATGCGGTGTTCTGTGTAGACAAACAAACAATAGATGTGCTGAAATCTGCGACTGTCTGTGTCAACATAGGGCGGTTCAAAGGACAGACAGTGTCAGTCTGGGACCTTCTGAACTCTGAATACATCTCAGACTGCAAGAGAAAAGAGCTAGTGCAAAAATACAAAGATGAGAATACTGAAGTGTTGCATGAAATAATAACAATTGTCACCACGATCATCGAAGAGACTGAGACACAAGGCAAGAAGTTTGCATTTAAGGGCCTGAGAAAAAGAGTATCTGCCAGCGACCTCTTCCAGTCCCACCTGATAGACAAAAAAACCCTCGATGAGCTCAACCAGGGAAAGAAAACAGTCAAAGAAGTCACTGAAATGGAATCTGTCCGCAGATACCTGGAGGGCAGCAATTTCATAGCAGGAGTCCTTATACAGCCAAGCAATGAGAAGATGAGCATCTATCAGGCCATGAGGAAGGGCATCCTGAGGCCAGGGACAGCACTGGTGTTGCTGGAGGCGCAGGCTGCCACAGGCTTTATCATTGACCCAGAGCAAAACAGGAAGTTTTCTGTGGAGGAAGCATTAACTGCCGGTCTAATTGGAGGAGAGATTTTTGAAAAGCTACTCTGTGCAGAAAGAGCTGTGACTGGCTACACAGACCCATACACAAAAGCCCCCATGTCACTCTTTGAAGCCATGAACCAAGGACTAATTGTGAAGAGCCACGGCATCCGCCTGCTTGAGGCCCAGATTGCCACCGGCGGCATCATCGACCCCGTGCACAGCCACCGCGTCCCCGTGGAGGTGGCCTACCGGCGCGGCTACTTCAACCAGGAGATGAGCCAGATCCTCTCCGACCCCACGGACGACACCAAGGGCTTCTTCGACCCCAACACGCATGAGAACCTCACCTACATGCAGCTCCTGGACAGATGTGTCCAAGACTCAGAGACTGGGTTGTACATGCTCCAGGTTGTACAGGAAGGGGGAAAATACTTCTACATTGATGAGGCAACAAAACAGTTCTTGCACTCAAAGCCCATCAAAGTGAAAGTTGGAAAGTTTAAGGACCAAACAGTTTCCATCTGGGAGATTCTCTGCTCTCATTATATTTCTGAGCAGAAAAAAAAAGACTTAGTAAAGCAATATAAATACAAAACCCTAACACTGGAAGACCTTATAGCCCTCATCCTCAAAATAATCGAGGATACAGAGCAAAGAACAGAAGCCCTTAAGGTTAAAGGCCTTCGGGGGGACGTGTCAATATCAGAACTGTTTAACTCTCAGATACTTGACAAGAAAACTCTGGATCAGCTGCAGGAGGGAAGTCTCACACTTGACAGCCTCGCAAAGATGGATAGTGTGGCAAGGTACCTGGATGGCACGGGATGCATCGCTGGCATTCTGCTCCCATCACAGAAAGAGAAGATGAGCATCTACCAGGCCCTGAAAAGGGGCCTCCTCACAGAGCAATGTGCCCTGGGGCTGCTGGAGGCACAGGCTGCCACTGGTTTTCTCATTGACCCACTGAAAAGTAAGAAGCTCTCTGTGGATGAAGCCATCTCGTCTGGGCTAGTGGGCAGGGAGTTACATGAGAAGCTCCTGTTCGCAGAGAGAGCTGTGACGGGATATACTGATCCACACACAGGAAACAAAATATCCCTCTTCCAGGCCATAAGGGAAAAGATAACAACCAAGGAGCAAGGTATCTGCTTGCTCGAGGCCCAGATTGCCACTGGTGGCATCATTGACCCTGTGTACAGCCACCGTGTTCCTGCGGAAGTGGCCTGTCGGAGAGGCTACTTAGATGATGACATGTTTCTCTTAGCTTCTGACCCAGACCATGGCAGCAAAGGATTTATAGATCCAAATACTCATGAAAAAATGAGTTACAGTCAGCTCCTGGAGAGATGTTCCAAAGACAGAGAAACTGGATTCTACCTGCTGCAAGTCATGGAAAAAGAAGACGACTATTTCTATATTGATGAGCACACAAAAAATATCCTGTTATCTACAATGGTACAAGTGCCTGTTGGAAAATACAAAGGGCATATATTATCTCTGTGGGAACTGCTCTGTTCTGAATACATCACAGAGGAGAAGAGAAAACAACTGGTGAAAAAATACAAACAGGACTCCCATAACATTCTACAACAAATCATTGATACAATACTCAATATTATTAAAGAAAAAGAGGAGGGCCGAAGTGATGTATGGTTCCAAGGTATCAGACAACAAATAACAGCATCAGAACTCCTCAGTGCACAAATAATTACAAAAGAAACAATGGAAAAACTCCAGGAGGGAAAAGAGACAGTACAAGAAATAGCGGAAACAGATAGTGTAAGAAGATATCTTGAAGGAACAGGGTGCATTGCTGGAGTGCTGGTGCCGTCCAAGGCTGACCCTGCCAAGATGGAGAAGATGAGCATCTACCAGGCCATGTGGAAGGGCATCCTGAGGCAGGGCACGGCCCTGGTGCTGCTGGAGGCGCAGGCTGCCACGGGCTTCGTCATTGACCCGCTCAAGAACGAGAAGCTCTCCGTGGACGAAGCCGTCTCCTCGGGGCTGGTGGGCAGCGAGCTGCACAAAAAACTTCTCTGCGCAGAACGAGCCGTGACGGGCTACACCGACCCATCCACAGGACAAAAGATCTCCCTCTTCCAGGCCATGAAGAAGGAGCTCATTGTCAAGGAGCACGGCATCCGCCTGCTCGAGGCCCAGATCGCCACCGGCGGCATCATCGACCCCGTGCACAGCCACCGCGTCCCCGTGGAGGTGGCCTACCGGCGCGGCTACTTCGACCAGGAGATGAGCCAGATCCTCTCCGACCCCACGGACGACACCAAGGGCTTCTTCGACCCCAACACGCACGAGAACCTCACCTACATGCAGCTCCTCCGCCGCTGCGTCCCCGACCCGGACACGGGGCTCCTCATGCTCCAGCTCATGGACAAGAGCTCGGTGCTCTACCAGCTGACCGAGGACGCCCGGAAAGCCCTGCAGGCCGCCCGCACCACCGTCAGCGTGGGTCTCTTTGAGGGCCAGAGCGTCACCGTGTGGGAGCTCCTCTTCTCTCGCTACATCCCCGACCACCGGCGGCAGGAGCTCCTCAGGAAGTACAAGGCGGGGACGGTGACCATCCCGGAGATGATCACCATCCTCACCGCCATCATCTCCAGGGCCGAGGGCCAGGGCCACGGCGCCGCCACAGCCGGCAAGGCGCCGCGCCAGGAGGCGACGTCATCTCCCGAGAACGGCGAGGCCGCGGACTCCCAGCGGGAGCGGGAGCTGGAGCGGGAGCGGGAGCGGGAGCTGGAGCGGGCCCTGAGGTCCCGCACCGTCGAGGTCTCGGTGGGCGGCTTCCAAGGCAGGAAGGTCTCCGTGTGGGAGCTCCTCTTCTCCAAGTACGTCTCCGAGGCGAAGAGGCAGGAGCTGCTGGGGAAGCTCCGGGACGGGAGCCTGACGCTGGACGAGCTGGCAAGGCTCATCACCGTCCTCATCGAGGAGACGGTGGAGAGGAGCAGCAACGTGAAGTTTGCGGGCCTCAGGAGGCAGGTGAGCGCCTCGGACCTGATGGACTCGGGAATCATCGACAAGGACACGCTGGCCGACCTCATCCAGGGCTCCAAGACGGTGAAGGAGGTGACGGAAATGGACTCCGTCAAGCGCTACCTGGACGGCACGGGCTGCATCGCCGGAGTGCTGGTGCCGTCCAAGGCTGACCCTGCCAAGATGGAGAAGATGAGCATCTACCAGGCCATGTGGAAGGGCAGGCCCGGGCTGCCACGGGCTTCGTCATTGACCCGCTCAAGAACGAGAAGCTCTCCGTGGACGAAGCCGTCTCCTCGGGGCTGGTGGGCAGCGAGCTGCACGAGAAGCTCCTGTCGGCAGAGCGAGCCGTGACGGGCTACACCGACCCCTACACCGATGACCAGATCTCCCTCTTCCAGGCCATGAAGAAGGAGCTCATTGTCAAGGAGCACGGCATCCGCCTGCTCGAGGCCCAGATCGCCACCGGCGGCATCATCGACCCCGTGCACAGCCACCGCGTCCCCGTGGAGGTGGCCTACCGGCGCGGCTACTTCGACCAGGAGATGAGCCCGATCCTCTCCGACCCCACGGACGACACCAAGGGCTTCTTCGACCCCAACACGCACGAGAACCTCACCTACATGCAGCTCCTCCGCCGCTGCGTCCCCGACCCGGACACGGGGCTCCTCATGCTCCAGCTCATGGACAAGAGCTCGGTGCTCTACCAGCTGACCGAGGACGCCCGGAAAGCCCTGCAGGCCGCCCGCACCACCGTCAGCGTGGGTCTCTTTGAGGGCCAGAGCGTCGTCGCCGTGGGGGAGCTCCTCTTCGCTCGCTACATCCCCGACCACCGGCGGCAGGAGCTCCTCAGGAAGTACAAGGCGGGGACGGTGACCATCCCGGAGATGATCACCATCCTCACCGCCATCATCTCCAGGGCCGAGGGCCAGGGCCACGGCGCCGCCACAGCCGGCAAGGCGCCGCGCCAGGAGGCGACGTCATCTCCCGAGAACG